GTATATAGATCGCCCGTTAGGCGTTAGGCATAATGGCAGACCTCCCTGTACACGCACGAGTGGATAATAGTCTTAGGTGCACGCCGAAAGTATATTTGGAATGGAACTCGGAAACCATCTGGCTTCTGGTTTTGCAATTTTGCAAAGGGCAATTTTTATACATATATAGCTAAAAAAGTATTTTATTTTTTTGGTATGCGAAGGCATTGAGAACTTGGTTGTCCGATAAGTTAGCTAATAATAGTCTGAGAACCAATAGAGCTAAAAGTTAAACTAGAGGTAAATTTCTATGACGATGTGTCGGCTATGTTGCTTATTAACAATAAACATTGAATGAAAAATGTAATATCAATACCACTATTACCCGATCAACTACGCGTGTAGTAGACAAAGTTCATCAAATGATGAGGTTCGCCTATACTTAATATCCGTGCGTTGAACAAAATGGTATCAAGTCAGACATTACCGAATAGGATACACTATATGTAATTAAGAGGGCCATAGCAGCCCGTCACTGAATCGCCGCAACATCTGTACATGGAAATCCGTGGAATAATGTAGAGTCCTGATAGACTCTATAAGACATGTAAATTCTTAAGTCTACGAAGCTAAAAACCCATAGTAACATCTTTAACTTTTTGCGTAAATGTCATTAGGTGCAACGTTATGTTTTCCTTTGTAATCTCAAAGCCCTGTTGATGCCTTTTATGCCGAAACCTTTTCAGGATTCTAGTCGCGTATTTTCCCAAACTCCACCAAACCAACATGAAAAGTAAACGTAAGTTCCCAAACTTTCATCTTTCATCCGCTTGTAAAACAGCGTCTTATAAAACAACGAGGACACTGGCGTGCAACGTGCACTGGCGTGCAGAAATTTTTATGCAGCTGACTTGGTATAGTCATGCCTTCAAGATTGTCCGCTGTTGTGCTTCAAACGTCCAACAGAAAGTGGAGAGCCTATGTAGGAGAAAAACATGTATCTAACTTCATCTGAAACCTTCTTTTTGAGGAAATAAAATTGTGCAGGATGATGATATCATTTCTTCTCAGCCATCTTGCCTCCACCTGCTGTTACTACTTGTGTAGCCTCGAAACAGGCTACGAAATGTCAACTTATTACCATTTGAAGCAGTCTTGGTCTGCTAGAGCAGCTGGCTCATTCGCTACTGGCTAGGGGAAAACCAGTCAGAATTCGCGACTACCTACTCCATTCGCCTTCCGTAACGCTCTGTGTTGTTTCCTTTCTTTTTGATACTTTTGGTACTACAAAGTACTCATACGATAGACACACAAGCGTACCGTTCCCATCACACCCAGTGCCACTTTCACTATTTGTCCGGCCGATCGCAATCCTCGACAAGCGGTCACCAAATTGTCGAATCGAGGGGACTGAGTTTAGTCAGTTGGATTCGTCGCACCTTTTCGCGCGACTTGGGCACTGCCATCTCACCATCTGAGCGAATTTATCCACGCAAGACAGCAGAGTACTGAATGAAATACACATGAGAAGAACAGCAAGGTTGGTCGCAGTGATAACGACGATTGCATGTCGGCAGTCAAAGGTCAACAACGAGGGGTATGGCATTCAGTTGAGGAGGACACGGATCGGGGTGGGGTCTTCAACCTAACAATTGTAGCAACAGCGACACTAACAAGAAAACTGAGCAAATGGTTGGGCGGTATCTTGTTATGCTCATGTCGACACTGTTTATTGCAAGACTGTGTAGATGTGGTCGATGTACCGTGTGAACGGGGGCAGGAATCCATAAGGGCAGGAATTGCCGGTTCCAAGGATTCAACTGTGCTTTTGAGCTACCATGGTGACAGTAGCCCAGTAATGGCCGTCTGCCGGACCTACGAATGTGACAAGACGACGCGGTTAAGGATCGCTGGTGGGTAGATCTTCAGATCAGAGGTACGAAGCTGAAAAAGAGAAAAATCAGATCAAGAAATCTAGCTGGAATTGAGGCAAGGCTGCTTCAAAATGCAAAGAAATGACATGAGATGGCTTCAGTGAATGCGTTCAGTGCCGTGTTTGCTATTCGGCCAACTAACCAACTATTCCACCGACACACAGTCGACGAAAGAAAGACCCAAGGGAACGTATCATTACCGGCACCAACATTACGGCCCGCGCAAGAACTTACGCGTGCAAGACTCAGCTCTGATGTCGAGTGCAATCAATGTGTTCTCTCTCTCTCTTTCTCTCTCTCTCTCTCTCTCTCTGAAATCTTCTTGTTCTTAACACAGCCGACAAAATACAATAGGGCATCGACTGATTATCTCAGTTGAAAGAAGAAAACTGATCTTCTTCTGAATGCTCAAGACCAACAAAGGAGTCAATTATATGTACTTCATAAAATAACATGGGATAGGACGCTACAGCAGTAAAATGTGTATCACATCCATAGTATTACAAATGGTGTTAGTGACATTGAGAAAAATGCCAGTATAACAAACACGTGTTTTATACCTTAGTCAATATGAAGCGTTGATGAAGAAAGACCTCCTTCTACTGTAGCCTTCTGCTCTTCTCTGTTTGTATTGGAAGCTTTTCGTCATTTTACCAGGCCTGCCTTGGATTCCTTTGGAAAGGAATTGCGACATTTTTAACAGGACGGTTTAACGGTCCTTGGTTAGAACTTTATCACAGAACAAACAGAAAGTTAGCTTTTAACTTTGAAAAACTTACGCTGAGATCATTTGTCGCAACTGTAGCAATCACAGGTATCAGTTGTTGTCAACTAACGGTGCAGAGATTCGAGAAGGGCTAAAAAGGTATCAGAAATTGCAACCTTCCGACAAGTGCCATTCGACCTAAGCCTTGGTATAACGTATCCGTTGAAATATAATATAATAATAAAGTGCTGTGCTAAGAGTACCGTTCGTTTCGCTGCTTGACCCAATTGTCGCTTCTGATATTTTATTGCAGACTACCGTATCTTCTATATCGTACATCACTAGTAAAAGATAGCGGAAATACAGCCTAACCAGGGTAGCAGGACTGATCAAATAAGCCAGTGGCTTGCAATTTAGGTATCTATACCTCCTGAATGAAGGAATCGAAGGGGTGCTGCATTACATGCGTGCGTTTCAGTGAAGTACCTTTTGGTGTGCTATTTCGGCAAAGTATTCTGTAGTCATAGGAAGTGCCATCCAGTTCACTTATTCACTGAACGTTCGCGTTTTTTTGTGTGATCGTTTTCAGCAATTTTCGTCATTTCGACGCTTTGCGCCTGTAACTTTTTTAGCTTTTAATACATAAAAAGCTTTTTATGGAAATCTTTATTGAAATATTGCACCACGCTTCAATGGAAATTTAGTTGATTAACTAACTAGCCTGATAATCAATCCAACTTACTGGAGTTTCTTTAAAATATGAGTAAAAAACAGTGAGAAAACTGCTCTAAGCTTTCTGCATTTTGTAGCTAAAAATGGTTTCTTCACATGAGTACTCTGTGCACTGTATTCCTGGAGGCCATTTCTAAAAATGTCGTCGTAATCTAGTTTGTATATATATGTATATAGTGTGATAGTTAATGTATGTTCCCTATGTGAGTACGTAGTATTGAAAGATATATGTTCCCTGTCCATTCGTAGCCGCAAATACCCCTACCTAGCTAATGAACTCAACAAACTCTAGAAGCAATATTGATGCGTACGTACAGTATACATCGGACATAAGACAAAAAACTGAACTACATTTTGATCCAACAAGACAACGCCTGAAGGCTGGAAGGCCTCTATAAAATTGCCGTTTCCTCAACCATTTTCCTCCACCCAAAGCAATAGTTCTTCCGAGGTCGACCAGGCGGCGCTCATAGTCCTACGGAGCAAATCGATGGTTTTTGACACTTTCATGGGACCAGGATGGCAGTGCAGGCATGCTCTGGTATCTATTATGCCTTATATAATATAAATATCAATTCAGAACTGTTGAAACAACATTAGTTTACTTATAAAGTATGTGACAAATTAAAGCATTGATTGATAACTAAGTTCCTGCCGTCATCCGCTAACAATTCGGCTTCAGTATATGGCCAAAAAAATAATTTTGATTGCTTACTATCACAGCATCACTATACAAGTATGTTCTCGCTAATTACGACCTAGGACATACTGAACAAATTTACAGAGTGTGTTAAATTAACAATATGATGAAATAGGCTTTGTTTTGGTGATTTTTCGGTGATTTATTTCGTCAATGTATGTTTTTGTTAAACTATCATTGCAGATAAATAATCTATAAGCGAAGGAGACGAGCCTCCTGGTGAAATTTCGCGGATGTCTCGTAGGGGTACACACATATGTCGCGATAAACTGTAGCTAAATATGTATGGCTTTTAATAGCCAGCAGCCGAAATATGAGATGCGGTTACCATATAGATAAATAATTGCAATAGCTGTTCTCCTTGAATTCTGCCAGGACCAAATATTTTTTTTTAGGATCTCTTCAGACTGCGTAGCGATCTCATTTGATGCTTACTTAGCACAGACCCTCAACGCAAAGCAGTCGGAAAAATTATTCAAAGGGTTTTGATAAGCTTCAATAATTTAGCTTTAAACAGCGCAATCTCTAATATAGATACAAATATTCTTTAGAAATATTCCTTTCCAAGCGATTAAATACAATAGGGCAAGTGGTACGTACCTCTTGAATGCAGCTGGTCTTTGCCCCCTGTATTACTACAACGTCGACATTAAAAGCATTATTTTTTGTCGTATACTGTATGCGCCTAACACTAGTGCACTGTAACTTCAAGGGTAGAGCAAGCTCACCAGTGAGGTTAGTTTTTTTAGCCTTCCTAAAGGTCCTCAGCGCCAACTATTCGAATGTCGGTGAAGCCCCTCACGGCATGTGGTAAACGCAGCAGGGGCAACGACCACTACCGCCTGCTGTCGTACGGCCATCGACGCAGAGTTTGAGCGTTTGCTCTTTCGCTTTTTTGCTCGCCCCTTTTAAGCCCCTTGGTTTACGTTTCTTTTTTATCGCGTTCCAGTATCGATGGTTCCTAACCGCTAGTCTGCCCTAAGATTCTTCCGCCGGGCATCTTGCCAGGTAAGAATCTCTGCCCCGACCGCAGTGTTTCGAGCTGCTTGATATGTTTAATCTGTTCGATTTACGAGAATGGTGACAGACGAACGGTAATGATAAGTTAATTTGAACCGAGCGTCAAAAAAATTTGCAGCCGGTCGCCAATCCTGCGGCGAAAGCGATCGCGTGTATAGATTTGAAATGCAGATGGGATCGCTGCTGGTGAGGAACGTGAAAAGGTAGAGTTGTGCATCCATGAAAAAAAGCAAATCTGCCACGTTCTATTTGGTAATTGATCGCCTGTCATTAATTAACTGGTTATATAATCCTGCCTTAACACACGTCATATCTACAAAATCCTATCTAACGGTGGTTTTTCTTATTCTGCTTCTGTGAGAATCTGTCATTCCCTAAATTCTTTGGGTACGCTATAGGCTCACATGGAAATCGAGATGCTGCTTCTTGTCTATGTAGTAAGTACCGTTACACAGTATCTGTAAGACGTTTAACTACATTTACCGCCGTTTTGTGCCCGCTTTTCAAAATAAACGTTTCTACATGTCAAGCAGATAGCGACGGGTGGACGAGATGAGACGGAAGCAATCGAAGTTGCCAGTTGTGGCTATCTATGTATGTAGGTCTAAATTTAAATGAAAACTCAAGGCGAGCCGGGAAAAATGCATTCGTGACGCGTGTTTACTATGCGCATTGATCGAGATCGTTTACCACGCTTGGTTAGCTAAGCACAACTCTCTGCGGATTTATCGTTGATTGACAAAGGAAGCAGTGTAAATACTTTGTTTATAATTGATAACGCGACTGATCTACCACACGCGTGTGTATGTGTGTGTGTATACCAAGACAAACAAAGCTTTTCAGCAGCAACAGAGCACAGGCGTCGTGTCTATGTGATCTAATCGAAGAAGAAGCAAGAACATAACGGGCTGTATGGAGATTCATCAGAAGAAACAGCCTACAAAGGGTTGTAAAGACACTTATCTGCACAGTAGATGTATCATTTCAAATTGACGCGAACGACTCATACATTTCAGAGAATGAGGATACATGTCGATTTCAACATGGATGATCTTGGAGGGCTTCCATGCCTGATCAAAAAAATTAGATTTAAATCAGTCTATATATGTAGAGATGTATGCGATCTGAAAACGAGAAGCGCAGCTATGATCTTCGCAGGCTCTTCGTATATCTGTAAAAAGTAACTGCTTTTCTATTTAGAAGAAATCATGGAATCATATTTCAAATACTCTGATCGTCCGGCGGAAATGGCTAAGCTCTCAAGTCGCAGAGCAAATCGGATACTGAGCAGTTTTCAGACCAAAAACTTAAAAAGAGACCACCTAACCGAGACAGGGTTCGGAATTGTTGTACAATATGCAGAGTAAATTCGTGTGTCACATAGCACCAAAATGGATACCGTGATAACCGCGGTACACCAATTTCAAGCTTTTTTTTTTTTCTATCAATACGATGACAGTGTCCTTGCAATTATGCATTCAGGAGAAACGACCATTCCTACTAGATATTCAGTAGTCTATTCAATAAGCTCTCATGTAAGTTGGTCAACGTTGAGATGATTATTAGAACGAGAAAAAATGACCATCGTGAAGCTGTGGTCAAGTAAATATTGTAAAAGGAGTACTAATGGAAGGTCACGAGAATGTTGCTCTCGCATATGTCTTGAATAAATGGTATTACTATCGGCCTCCGATGGTTATCTTCATTTTAGAATATAACCAGTTATGAATAGCTAACGATATGAAGAATCTCAGTACTAGCATAGTTGCCATTTGGTTATACAGGGCATGTGAGCGTAGGAATCATCCGGCAAATACTTACGACAAACAAGAACTGACGACATTTTTATGGCCACTAATTGGTATAGGCATATTTGAGCCATTGTTGGTATTTTTTGGGTAGTAACCGTTACAAAGTCGAGAAGCCTTCCTCGTCCTATACGCAGACATATGTAAAAGAAAATGTACTTGCCTTTTATATATGACAGGCCATTTCGGGTGTCGATATGTGGTACTATCGTTATTTGGCATTCACCTAGACCACCAGCTCTTTTTACAAAGAGATACCTGCTCACCCAAATACAACGCTCTTGCCAATGTTATCTTAGGGTTGTATCCTTTCTGACTACTATCTAATAGCGTTGACCTTTCGCTGCAATTGTTTTAGATGAGGAATTCGATATATTTTTATTTTCATCGATTAAAAATAAGTATAACATTGATTTAATACAGTAGACAACGTTGTCATGATGAACAAGGGAAATTACATGTCTGATTCAACATCCGGTGTATGCCCACCTATTACAATGCTTAATACAATACTATACTATACATCTATATGCTTCAATCCACTTCCGAAGTATTAAATAAATAAAGTAAATTAATTCTACAAACAGTACCACACAGTTTTAACGTGAATATGTATGATCCTTTCCTCTAATGATCTATCCATTCCCTAAATGTTATTTCAGTCAAAGTCTGGTTTCCACGACAAACTAAATACATTATGAGACTCAGAAAGATCTGGTGCAGAGATCTGCCGACGCAATCGCTCATCCATTTACTTATCACACAATTCTAATTCGTCAGGAATTCTCGATGGTCCCATTCTGCCGATATTACCGTTGCCTTTTACACCGGGTGGCGCTGGGCCATCCCCTTTAAGGGCACTGCCATTGCAACCGTCCCACCCATTGTCTTAATATTGTTGTCTTCAATGACAACGTAGAAGACACCGCTAGGGCACGAGACCTAAGGAAGATGGGGGTAAAGAAGGCCCATAGCGTGGCGGCTTTGGAGATGCCAATAGCGGCGGCGGCGGCCGCCCTGGCGGTGACGGTACTAACGGAGGCAGCAGCGCCGAAGCCGTCTGCGGGCGACGAAACTGCCTGCGATCAGTTGTGGGCGGGCCCTTTAGCGTCATTATGACAGTGCGGCCCGTGGCGCAGCGGGCCCGAGACATTCGTTTGTCGAGCTTGCGATCCGCCACCAGCACGATGCGCCTTCACATCTCCGGCGTCCGACCGGGTCTCCCCAACTTAATCGAACGCTATTGGCAAGGTATTGCTTTGATTGGTGGGCCCCTCCGGCTGAGCGCCAATCAGAGCCAGCCTTCAGCGTGACGTCACCAAATCTTCCTTCCTTCCTCTCTAAACAGCAGCGATTGCAGCGCCCCTCGGTTGGCTGGCAGACAGAGTCCAACAACCCAACAGCCGGTCGTCGAAAGATCGAGGTGCCGGGCGGCCGACTGACACCCGCCAGTAATGCTTTCCCTAACAGACAAGGACCCCTTTCCCGAATGCAGAGTGCAGGGAGAGATTGCCCCGTTTTGCGATTCCCCTCTCTTTGGTCAGGGCTTCGCCCCTCACGGCCGCCCCTTATCTCGTCCAAGGCCCTGGCCATCTGACCCCTAAAACAGCAGGCGGCAGTTCTTTCCCCTCATTAAATTCTCCCCATACGCCCCTCTTTCCCTCTTTGCTCATTCTACACACCACCACCCCAGACGTTAACCTCGGCGGGCATGAAGAGGGACGAAGCAGCCGGCAGCTTGCTGATCTCCTGAGTAGACCCGCAAGGCTTCGTTTGTTTACATCCGATAACGCCCTGCTCTATCCTAACCTGCGTACTTGTCGCCGTCCTTTGCGCCCCTTCCTCTGGCGGATTTCCCTTTCCATTGCGGAGATGGCCCTCCCCTCTCTCATTGAGGGCTTAAAAGATGCTATTCCATAAGGGTTTCGTGCGGGTCGGAATAGCGGTGGCGGCAAGGGATGGTAAGGAAAGAAAAAGCAGGCCTAAGCTTCAGTATAGGACCCAACGAATCAGGCCCCGTTAACCCCCGCTCTCTCTATGATTTCCTTCATCTCGTGCCTCTGTGCCTTCTTTTTTTCGTCCAAAGTCGTGCAAGGGTCCTGCTGCTGTCCAACCGGCAAATCCAACATGGCCGACAGTATACCCTGTGTACATGTCCGGTCTGTACAGTTATTCGGTGCCCATCTATAAACGAAAAGCCGTGTGTATACGTGTATGATTGTATGCTGCGGCAGTGGCCATGGTGCGATGGCTGCCGTTTTTCTCTCGTTTTCCGTCGAGTTTTCCGCTACAAAAACAGCCCCAAGGAAGGAAACGCCAATGCATATAACAACCAATTGTGTGTGTAGAGTTATTAATGGCTTAGCTATTATGAGGAGGAATGATATTAATAGCGAATATAGCTAAGGACGACTTTTTGACAAATTTTTTATTAACTATGAAAAATGTTTTTCGAGTTTAAATCGGTGAATCAGCTTATATATACGATGTGGTATATGTATATACGTTAAAGACAAAATTTTTTTCTTCGATCATCTTGAAAAAACGCTATAACTAGATAGAATACTGTAAGACTGTTCATAGTTATTAAATATTATGTGTGATCCGAAAACGATTAGAAAGTCCTTACAGAGGGCAACTGTTGGTGCAAACTGCGTCCATAATAATAGCTCAATTGAATCAAGTACGCTACTGTATCCTAATTCTGTTCACTAATTGTTTCACACTACTATAATCTTATAATTTTATTGCCGGGGCATGCTGCATTTTCTCCGTCAATTTTCATACGAGCTGTGTATCTATCAATACGTCGCATAAGACGTAAGCCCGCGGAGCGCGCGAGCCACGTGACTTCTCTTCCTATTCGAGCCGGCAAGGAACCCTCGTAACGTTGTGCTGGTGGGAGCCGCCAAATGAGGCCGGGTAGCAAATTGGGAAAGAGACGGCAAAGGGCCCTAAGAGAGGGTAGCCCACAAGGCGTCTGTAAGCGCGAAGAAAGCCTTAGGAGCCGCAAAAGATGGTGCTACTACCAAAATCCTGGGTAACAGCCAACAGTATCCCACGGGCCATTGTGCCTAGCCTTTTTTCGGATAAAACGAATGAGCAACGATTATGCAATAGCTGAAGATAACGCGGGCTGAGTTTTCATCTCGGGAGCTATTAAACATCACCTGTGTTACTACCACATCGGACTGGAATTACTTCGAACGACTGATTAAGATCAGCCGGCTTTCAAATGGAAGACTATTGAACTTTTCTACGGTCATCGTGAAATTCCTATTGATGGCTCGTCTTTAATTGAATTGTAATAGTAAGTCACCAAATTTGGCGAAGGTGATTATTTATTTTACGGGCAGACTGGAATGAATTGGCTTAAAAGCGTATCTTAACTGCATGTGAATGTTTTCATAATAAGCTATATATTTACACGCCATTTGTCACTATGGAAGCAAATTATTCTTCTTTTGTTTTTTTTATTAACTTACATTTGCACAGATCCCAACTTTTCCACTTGTCGTTCAGGAAAAATCATAATCTAGCTCTGGTTTGAAACAACTAAAACAATTGTTCTCAAAAATACATATTACACTGAGCGGATCGTTTCTGCTTCTCGTCTAAAGACCCCGCCAGGTGATCAGTATTGCTGACTGAAATCCGTTACCGACGATATATGCATTGTGAAACGATATACAGTAAAGTTGGCCGTCTAGCTTCGTGTTTACTCAAGTCGACATGGTAAAAAAAAGTCAACTAATTCTAATGGCAAAACTTACTCATATCCGACCGTTGCTCAACTGACCTTGTTGACCTCCACCTAACCGTCAGCATCACAGCCTGTGTTGCCCCTCGGCAAAAACACAATCAAAACGAGTTGGTCGCATTAGTCTGAAAGACTGCCAAGACTCTGTCAAAAAGAAGCCACCGTCGTTACAGCCATCGCTATACGATGTTTCTTTCATCGTCTGCTTTGTCTCGAATCTTCATTTACCAACCAAATATGAGCTCATCAGTTGGTTAATGCGCTGGCGATGTTTATGTTGCCCATATTGATGTAGCAAGTCGCAGGGTTCCATTGCTACCATGTACATATCCGGCTAATGTCAGTGAATGTAACAGTACTTGTTGTATTCTAATTTCTCTTAGTCGGCCTGATTTGTTCGCTTTATTGCTACACCATAGCAGGACAGATTACGGACGAGGGCCTTTAATCGCAAGGTAATCACAGTTCTGTATGCGTGAAGTCGGTCGGATCACCCTTCGTGTGCCATAGAAGTGGAACGTGTAAACGAGTGTTTGTTTATAATTTTACAGTTTATAGGAAACGACAAAGGAAACGCGAAGAAATTGCGGGCGCGTTCTGATTTGGCTAGAACTTCCAAAGGAAACATATGATGTCGTTGTTTACGTTGCCACATCGCATCAGTGACCATCGTCATGCGCTGTATTTGGTCAGCGGTTTTTATCATCACAAGGCGGAACACGAAAGTCTCACCTGCAAGGTACAGAACGGCATGTTGTGCGATCACACTGCGTCTACATGACGTCAAGCGGTGGCATTTTTATGGCTTCAAGCCAGATTTCCTTAAGATGATATATATATATATATATATATATATATATATATATATATATATATATATATATATATACACACACACACACACACCTATAGAAGCGTTTAAAGTTATCGATGACATGGGACATGTGTCTAATATTATCGGATAATAATAGAGGAATATGCTCAAGCGCTATCTCAGGGAAGAAAAGCGTACAGATTCAACAA